AAATTCCCACCACAATGGCCAAAAGCACTGGCTGTTTCCTCCTCGGCCAGAGATGGCAGCTTTCCTCCACCGAGCTGTCGTCACTCGTGTTTATGTCGCAGCATCCAGAGGTGGGCCCTGTGTGATGTGACAGCTCTTGGAGATGCCACGTGCACTGGGAGGGCCCAGGAGAGCACAGGCCCTCCAATGGGGTCAGGGGCAGCTCAGAGTCAGGCTGTGTTGATGGAAGCGGGAGTGTCTGGCCTTCTCTCTCCTGGCTCTGTTTCCTCTGTTGTCACCTGCTCTGAGCCTAGCGCTGTGCCGGTTCCTGCTTAGAACCTCACAAGACGCTCCAGGAAGAACGCAGGTTCACTCCAGGGGCCAAAGCAGCAAGCCCACCCTCTAAAGCAGTGGTTCTCAACCTTCCTAATGCCGCGACCCTTTAATACAGTTCCTCATGTTGTGGTGACCCCCAATTTCATTGTTACAAATTGAACATAATTAAAGCATAGTGATTAATCACAAAAACAATGTGTAATTATATATGTTTTCCAATGGTCTTAGGCGACCCCTGTGAAAGGGTCGTTCGACCCCCAAAGGGGTCGCGACCCACAGGTTGAGAAACGCTGGAACTCTTGAAGCAGCCTTGAGAAGCGCTTGGCGCCGCGTTAATTTAGGCAAATTCGTGGTAAGTTAGGGTTGGGCCTACAGGGGCAAAGGGAAGCTAAATAATAAAACGGTGGCAAGGAAATACAGTTTCAGCGCACATGGGACCAGAACTGCCCTCTGGTTTCTGCCTTGGCACCGGGTAGGGGAGACTCTTTAAAGAACAGCTAAGAAGTGGGTACAAATAGCAGAGTGGTGCCATGCATGTCAAGGGGGGGTCTCCGAGGCACCCGCTGTGCAGTTAAATAGCTTTGTGTGCAAACTCTTCATTTGCTAAGCCTTGCACGTTTGAGCAAAGACACGGGTGACTTTAACTCAAGTGTCAGGAATTCTGAATTGGAGAGGTTGGGACTTCCAATGACTCAGTCAACTTGGGCACCAAAAACGTGTTGTGGTGACTCAGGTCAGGACGGGGAAGTTTCATTTCTCCTCACGCGTTTCCAAGGGCAAAAAAGTCTGCGGCAAATGTAAAAGCTGAGCAGTGCGTTCAGTCTTTCTGGCTATCTTCACGACAGGATCCTAAACGCCATTCCTTGGGGGGTTTCTGTCGAAACCTCCGCATCTGAAGCTAGCACCAGGCACAGAAGAACCCCAGGGAGAAGCCGGTGCCATTGCCACACCCAGCGCAGCAGCAATTTCACTCAGTTACCAACACTGCCACCAGATTGAATCAATGTTGTTAACTTAAGTTTTATTGACTTTGGAGATTTCTTTGTATTGACTTGTACATTTCTTTTGAGTGTATAGTTGTAATGGGCCTGTGAGCAGAAGCCATTTTACATTTATACATATTTGAGAAACACTAAATTGAAAAAATAAGTTAGGTTCACCCTTAAGGTCTGTGAGGGATGTTTTCTTTTTCTTTAGAAGGACTCCCTCTATGACTTTTCCTACGAAATTGTACATAAGCATTTTCCACAATATAGGCCCCAACCCTGTGGCTAATTGGGACCTGGCTTCCCTAGCCAAGAAAGGTACCCGTTTCTCCGGGAATGAACTCTGTCCACCAATAAACTTGCCTCTGGGATAGAGATTGTTTCTCTCAGAACCAGCAGTGCTCAAGCTTCAAGGTGGGCACGGACTTTGAGGTGCACGGCCGATGTGAACCGCACGGCTGATGTGAACATCATGGCCGATGTGAACACACGGCCTATGTGAACCGAAGCTGATCTTGTTTGCAGAGCTCCAGAGGGAGGGACGCTGGGAAGAGGTTGCTGAGACTTGGCCTTTATCAGCAAGTTTTGCTTGGCTCACTATCAGCAAGTTTTCTGCCCTAAACAAGCAGTCTCTAGACTTGAGCAAGCAGATACAGGCTGCTTACCTGGACAGGTGGGTGGGCATCCAGTGGGACAGTGGATTAGATCTATTGATCCTGGAGCAATATGACCCCCTGACCATTTGTTAAAGATGCTGGTAACAGCTGGCGAGGCCTGGCAGTCTGCCGTGTTCTGGGACCATCGCAGCATCGTGATCCTGCCTGGCTTTCTCATTCCTCAGCTTGGCTCTCTGTGCTTGGGCAGGGCCGGGAGCCCGGGCAAGCTGAGAGCTACACTGAGAGATCCAGCCATCAGCTAGGTCCTCTTTGGGGAAACAACACTGGAATCTGCAAATATGCTAAGACCGCTCCCACCCCCCCCCGCACCGCCCATTTATGCCAATACGTGAGACCCCATTTCGTGACTGCCCAGGCTCCAGGGGTGGGGAGGCCCAAAATATTGTGTCTATTTCCTTCTCTCAATATAACCTTCAAAGGCCAAAGGTCATGACATTCATCAGGCACTTGCTCAATGTCCGTCAGCTCCTTCTCCCTGCCTCCCTCCCTGCCTTCCAAGAAGCGAACCACAGGGTATGTGTCCACATGTACTTGTTGAACTGGACTGAACGGGCCTCTAGAGTGTGATCCCCATACTCAGGTCTAGGAAACTTGCCTGATAAGTGGCAGAGCAGAGGGGCCAAGGGACTCGGCTTCGTGATTCCGGAGGGGAAGGGGCAGCGGATTAGGAGTGGACGATCTGCCTGCCCAGCTGCTGACCCGGAGCTCAAATCACAGCAAGAGGCTGAAATGCTGGCCATGCGCTGGGCTGGGCACCTGAGGCAGCCACGTGGCAGGTCCCAGATTTCATCGGCCACCTGGTTCCCCATCAGGCTCCAGGGCCTCCCAAGCCCATCCCCGGCCCGGCCAGCTGTCCCTCAGCCCTTCTCAGGGCAGCAGTGTGGGAGGGGGAGAAACAGCATGCCAGTCAGGGACAGCGCCCTCATCCCAGCTCTGGGAGAGTCAGGGCTGCCCGGGCCTGACTCCTGCCCTTTGTGAAATGGGGATACTTTGCGAGAACGGTGGGAAAAACATCAGCCGAATACAAGATGGTTTCAGAAGCCCAAGTAAAGAGGCTTGGAGTGGCTGCAGTTGGTGGCTTCAGGCCCAAATTGTGCTTTCCCAGCCTTTTCTATTTCCCCCTTTTCCAGCCACCAGAATGAACATAAAAACACATTGGAGAAATAGCACATATAGACGCAAAGACATCGGCTTTGGTAGCTTGGACATGACTCAGGAATGCCATCTGTGGTATTTTTTGTCCTATAAATTGAGGGGGGAAATAGAGAAAAGAGAAAGAAATAGTCACCAGACAGGGGAGGGGGGAGTGGTTGGAGGGGCAGGGTGATGGGATGAGGGAGAGCCAGAGACAAGCAAAGGTTGTTAGAACTCAGCTGCCTCTGCAGCATCACTTGTGCAGCTGAGAGTGAAGTAGACTAAGCTGTCCCTTCTCAAACCACGGGTGGTGCCGACTTCCAACCAAGAAGTATACCATTTCCCTCGAGCCCCAAACTTAGAGCCTGCTGCCCACAGTCTCTGGAACTTCCCAATTCCTCTGAAGGACCAGGGACCCCAGACTCCCTCAGGGACCTGCTTCTCTTCTCTCCTCCACCTCTGGCTTCGTTAGTTTCTCTTCTCTGCCTTGGCTCGTGGCCTGCCACCCCACTGGGACCCTGCAGGGCAGAGGGTGCTGACTGGGGATACCGGCCTCATGCTCTGGCCAGTTTCCCAGGTTTCCTCACCTTTGGGAGGAGCCCAGGTGTGAGTGCTGACAGCCTGTGCTGATATGAACAGACAGCCCAGGCCCCTTGGATGCTGAACCAAGGGCGAGAGCACATATTGGTGCCTGGAGGCAAAAGCCTCCTCCAGCCCTGAACCAGCTCCCCCACACCTCCCCCAAACAAGGAGGCCACCCAAACATCCCGTCCTGCTGCTGGTGACACTGAACAAGAGCAGTGTTTCTCTTGGGAGTCCCAGGCACTTCCTGCTGTCGTATTCTGGGGGTGCAGCCTGAGAGCACAGGTGAGCCCGATGTGCCGTGAGCGTGCCAAGTGCTGAGGTCTGGGCTCCCATTCCATCAGCCGGACCTGGCTTTGGACCTTGTGAGAACAGAGCAGGTCCTTGGGCTTCTTTGGTCTGAGGCAGTCTTGGCCCATTTCCTGTTGGAGGGAGGATCCCATGGGGCCCACTAAGACCCTCACAGGGATTTGGGCTCAGTCTCAGCTAATGGTAAGAGAGGATGATGCTGTCCTTGAACTTCCACAGTGAGACCCACACGGGAGTGAGAATGGCTCGGTCAGGGCAGGACTCTTCCCGAAGCACCACCTTGTGATATGGCCTCAGCGTCTCCAGGACCCGACATGGGACCCATGGAGCTTCATCCTTTTCACTTCACAGTTACCCTCAGACTCTGATACTGAAGTCTGATGGATTCATTACCAAGCAACAGCATTTCCCAACAACGTGCTTATGGACCCCGATTCTCGTAGAACCAACAGAAAAATGGCAACCGGTCAGCATATCTGTGTCATGTGACACCAAAGGAGATGGGCCTTCCTGGCCTCCTCAAGGGAAAGAGGCGCGGCTGTCCCAGCCTAGGGGCCTCCCATTTCTTCCATAAGCATTTCCAGGACAGACGGCCTGGCGCCTCTTCAGATTTCACTCTTCCGTGAACAGAAGGGCAGATGCTCCCACCACGACTCCATGGCCTCCAGGGGTGGGGGTCGACGCCTGGCAGCAGGAGGGGACGGATCTGGATGGCTCAGCCAGGTCGCCCCCAACCCTCCTCTTCCTTAGAGGTTCCTGCACCAGCCTGACCCTCCTAATCCGGCAGGGGGCCTAGTAAGCCACTGCCGGAGGTCAGCTTGTCCTGCTTTGGGTTCGAGGCGAAGGCCAGTGCAAGCGCAGGCTGGATTTGTCTCAGCTCCAGGCTGTGAGGGTTTTTGAATGTAATAAGACCGAACCCCAAAACCAAAGGGGCCCTCCGCCACATCCCAGGAACTCCCTGAACTCCAGGTTCTGGAGAAATCAAGAAGCAAACAAGGGAAGTGCTCACATGTATTTATTTCACAAGGGGGAGATGGAGTGGGCTGACCACCAACAAGATGCCACCAAATGAGACATATGAACCCTAAACTGGACAACTACAGGGTTTGGTTCTGGGCAGGGCTTGACCTTTGGGGACAGCATGAGGGAGAGGAATGGGAACTGGCAGAAGGACAGCCTTCTGTCTGGGCACCACACGGGCAAGGCTGAGCCACATCCTTCTGGCCACATGTGTGGCCACCCCCACCCCCCAAGCTTCTCAGCAGCCTTGTCCTGATCCAGGTGAGCGATGAAGCGCAAGCCCAAAGCCATACTTCTACGTCTGCTCTACCACACTCACACGCACCCAGACGCACATGCCACGTGGCGTCACACATGCACACACGCACATGCAGCTGCACACGCCCTGCCACGCGCACCACACAGGCACACATACTCATACGCATGCACACACGTCCATATATTAACTCTGATTTATAAGTGCACCCTAACCAGAGGGCAATCGAAAAAAATTATTACTCTTCAGAGAGGAATCGACTGCCTTCTCCCCTGTCAGCCAGTAGAGCGTGGGCTGAAATGAGATGAGCACAGAGCAGACCCCAGGGTCCTGGCCCCCTTTGCTGTGCTGGCTCCAGTCTGTAAGCTCCAGTCCCCTCCCTGCTCCCCCTGCAGCAGCCTCTGAGTCAGGGCTCCCTGTTCCCCGGGCAGGCGAAGAGGCACTGGCCTGGCTCCAGCCTGGGTCCCTCACAGCTTAGCCTGCTCTGTGTGCTCAGCTGATTCCTGTCTCAGCTCTCCAGACACAGGCAGAAGAGCTGGCCCAGGAACATAGGAGCCTAGTCAATGCGCAGGCGACCATGGAAGTGTTAGCTCCAGGCCATCTGGGGGGAGGGGGGAGCGGGACCAGAAAAATCCAGAGCTGTGGCCCCCAGTGCCACCTAATGGGCAGGTTTGGGCTGGAGGCTGCCTTGGTTGTGAGAGGACATCTGGGCAGAAGCAACCTCAGGGGAAACTGAGTCTCGAGGCCTCACTGTCTCCTCTGAGCAGGGAGAACTAGGATGTGGCTGAGCTCCTCCCCCACTTTATTGAGGGCTGGGGTGGAGTTCGAAGCTGCTGCTGTAAGAGATGAGAAAGAGGAGAGGCCCTGCCAGTCCAGTCCCGATAGCGGGTGGGAAGGTGACGACAGAGATGTGGATGCTTCACTCCTCGGTGCCAGGTCCACATCTGGGCTGCAGAAGACACAGCGCCTGGGTTCCCAGAGAAGGGTGGGGGCGGGGCGCTTCCCCAGGGTGCAGGAGCTGAGTGCCTGAGGTGGACACAGCGTCTCCATCTGGCCCTCTGCCCCCCCCCCCTCGCCGCTCCCCGCCCCGCCATGCTGCCTTGGAGAAGCCCACGAGCACCTGCTGGCTCCCAGCTGTTTCTCCACCAGCGTAGCTGGGCCAGAGCACGGGCAGACCCTGCCCTGGGGGCCAGTCTCCAGGTCCCCAGCTCCTCCCCACTATTTGATGGAATTCTTAATCGTCCACCTCTGTCCCGTGCAGCTTCGGAGGATGAGGTCAATGCCAGCCAGGCCACGGTTCTCCACCTCCAGGCAACGCCCAGTGCCCTTATTCATAATGGCTCCATTCTGGGTAAAAGGAGGCGAGGGAGGGAAGAAGGGAGGGAGGGAGAGGGGGAGGGAGGGAAAGAGAGAAAGAGAGAGGGAAAGAGAGGGGGAAAGAGAGAAAGAGAGAGAGAAAGAGAGAGAGACTTAACCACCTTAGTGCCCAGCACATGGCCTCTCATGGGAACAATCCTGTACAGGGGACCGATCACTGGGGTCCGCTGGAAATCGTCAAGTCAGACAGTAAATAAGCTTCATCAGGTCTGAGTGGCTGAACCAGGTGATGAGGATCGATGGGAAATGGTGTCAGGAGGAGGAATTTCCAGGGACATTCGAGGTCTGGTTTTCTTCATCTTACTCGCTCCAGGTACTTAGCCGATTTCAGGAAAATCACCCCCACACCCTCCTCCCAAGACATAGCAGAGCCAACCACGCCTATCGCTGCTGCAGGGATCCGGAAGGCTGTCTCCCACGAAATCCCCCCACTGATCCCCCCAAATATACTCTGGGTCCAGGCGCCTGGTCTAGGGCTGAGAGACCTTCGGTGCACTGTGCTGGATACCCGTGGGGAAGCCAGATTGCCCTGTGATCCGCAGCATCCTCACCTGCTCTGGGGTGCCAGCCCTGTCCATGGAGCACTCACCTGGATGAAGTTCCACCTCTTGTACAGGCTGCTCTTGACCTTGTCGCAGTCAAGCAGCTGGGGCAACCGACTCTTGGAGTTGTCTACCAGGCAGCGGGTGTCGGGGAGGAGCGTGGTGGTCCCCAGGGCTCCCAAGTGCAGAAAGCCTTCCTTGGTGTAGCGGGCCAGCTGGGGAGAGAGAGCAGAGTGGCAGGGGAGGAGGGTCAGGAGGGTAGGGGTGAGACCATGAAGGAAAACAGGGCTGAGGTCTGCAGGTCTCACCCAGGCCTCTGTTCGCGCTGCAGCCCTGGCTACCATCTCAGGCCTGTCACACACCCACAGGGGAGCCCTGACCAGGAGGCCCTCTGGTTTGCTAAGCCAGGATACTGATTCCCCTCGTCCACTCTGATTTTTTCCTAAGCATGTCCTCGTCAATGTTTCAGGAGCGCAGCCTCTGTCCAGCAGCACAGGGAGCAGGAATAAGTAAGTGAAGGAGCAAGACAGCTGGTTTCTAAAGCGTGGCTCTGCTTCCAGCTGGCTGGGCCGCCTTGAATAATTCACTTAACCTCTCTGAGCCACATTTCCTCCTCCGTTGTAATTGGGGATTAATGAAATCTACTGCTGCAAAGGACCCAAAGAGGCAGTGCCCGCAAGAAGGAATAGACATTATTAAAAAGCATTCAACCTCATAGGCTCTTAAGTAAATAAAATAGCAATGAGATACCACATTTTAAAAAAGAACTTATTCCTATTTTTTCAAGGATAGCATAAGATGGGCTGGCAGGAGGGTAAATTACTACAAACTTGCAAAAAGGGGATTTCAAAATACACACTTTGTGCTTTTAAAATGTTCTCCTTTGACTCAATAAATCCACTTTTAGAAATGTATCCCAGGGAAATAATCAGAACTGTGAACAAAACTTTATGTATAGGGTGTTTACTGCAACATTATTTATAACATCCTACATGTGCAACAACACAGCCCTGGTATTGGCTTTCTGCTCCATGTAGTACTGCAAGGAGTGCTGGGCGATTGTGGGAAATTGCAAAAATGGCCTCATCCTTCACTCTTCCTCCTGTAAAACGTTGGTAATGTGACTCTGCAGCAGTTTCCATCATATCGGTGACTTGCTTTGGCCAACAGAATGAAGAAGATGTGAGGATGTGCCTATTCCTGAATTAGACCTTGCATACTTCCACCCTCCTGAAACCTTGCTGCCACCACTGTAGTAAGCTCAGGACGACTGCTAGAGGATGAGGGACAACCACCAGACAAGGGGATGAGGTCATCAGAGGTCAGGAAGCCCTCAGCCAACCTGATAGCTGAAGGAGGCTCGTGAATGAATCCCGCCAAGATCAGCTGAGCCTGGTCCAGATCACAGAACCATCCAGCTGGCCTATGCACTCATGAGAAATAATAAATGCAGACTGTTTCATGCCACTAAGTGTGGGATAGTTGTTATGCAGCAATAGCTAACTGATATAGAGATGGTGTTGCCTGCCAACTGTTACCCCAGCAGGGTTCCACTCTCCTGCCTGTCCGCATTGTTTAAAACTCTGTATTCCAGTGGTTCTCAACCTGTGGGTCATGAACCCTTTGGGGGTCGAACGACCCTTTCACAGGGGTCACCTAAGACCATCCTGCATATCAGATATTTACATTACGATTCATAACAGTAGCAAAATTACAGTTATGAAGTAGCAACGAAAATAATTTTATGGTTGGGAGTCACAACATGAGCAAATGTATTTAAGGGGCCAGAAGGTTGAGAACCACTGCTGTATTCCAACTTTTGAAGAAATGGATTTACCTGCCATTCACATTCCTTCAGGGGCAGGGACTGTGTCCAATTCCTTTCATTCATTGCTAGGAGGGCCATCACAGACCAAGCACTCAAAAATGTGTTTGTGAATGAGCACATTGTAAATCTAGTAAACATCCTCATTTAAAAAAACAAATGAAGCCCCATCTACATTTAAACTCTACAAGCATGTTTTGAAGGCTCCTCTGTGTGCCCAGCCTGGGACAGCCTTCTGGGTATATAAGGATGGGCTGTGTTCCCACTGAGATGGTCCCAGTGCAGGCTGGTGAGGGCAATGAGAGAGGCTAGCACGCTCCTCCTGCGTGTTCTTACAGACTTCAGCGGTAACTAGAGTAGGAGTGATGATTATCGATATAAAGGTTCCTAAACAAATAAAAAAGTAAAATGACCAGCTTGCAGGTAGTGAAGACATACTCTGCATCGTTTCTAAGATTGTACAGGGGGTAAATAATGGAATCGCCACAAAACCCTGTGAAATAGGTGCTACTACTCACCCCATTTTAAAGATGAGGAAACCAAGGCATGAAGACATCTGGTCACCCGGTGGCCCTGGCCTCTGTTGGGTGCCTGGAGACCCTATGGTTGGTGGCCCTGGCCCAGCAGCTGAGCAGCAGAGGGGCCCCTCCCAGAGGACCCTCTCCTCCTCCCAAGAGCCTGGGCGTTTCTGGCCAGGGATGGGGCAAGAAGGCTGCTCTGCTCAGGGACACGAGTGCCTCTTAGGGGATAAGATTCTCCTCGGGCGGCTCTAAGCTCCTGGTAGAACCTGCTCAGAAACCCTCTGCTCTGATCCCCGAAGGGAAGCCTGCCTGGTCCCCCCGAAACAAGTGGCAGAGAGTTTATGAGGTGCCCTTGAGAGAAATGCAGTTAACATGTGCTTTAAACTCAAATTAATTCCAAATCAGAGTAATTGTTAGAGGCAAAATGATAAGAAAATCCGAAACTCTCCCCACCCCTCCTTAAACAATGTCTCTGACTATATTTAAATTCACCAAATGCAAAGTGATGAATGACAACAAGCTGCCTTTATGTTCAGGGGAAAGATATACACAGCTGCTTACTGAAATTATGAATCAATCTATTATCCAGCAGGCAAATGAGTAGCGCTAAGAACATTAATTAACTAAACATATCTGTGACCCAGATGTTTAAAGAGTGACGCTAAATGCCCCTGGGAGTTAGGGCATGAAACAAGGAGACCCAGGCTGCTAGGACCTGCAAAGGCCACACACCAGCCCCAAGCCCTGCAGGCATCCGGGTGGGCAGGGGGCTGAAGAGGCCTCTAGGATTTCTGTCCTGGGGGAAGGCTGGTTCTCATACCGGAAGTACCAGGACGCGTGTATAGGCTCTGCTGGCCCCGCCAAGGGGCCAGGGTCAGGGGAAGGACGCTGTGGTCTGAATGGACCGTGGGGCTTACGAGGCAGGAGGATGGTAAGTGCTGAGACCTGACATCCCTCTCCCCTTTTCCTCCACTCCTGGATTGAGAGTCTGCCTAGTCCACCGCCCCCCACTTCCCACCCCCGTGCTCCCTCTTTAAACACCTCTGCTCCCTGTCCTCTGTAAGTCCAACAGGCTCTCCATCTCCAGGGCCTTGCTCCAGCTGTCTCCCTGCCTGGAAATGCTTTTTATTGGCCTTCCTCTAGGACTTTCTGGCTTCAGAATTCCCAGACCTCAATGCAGGTCTCTCCATTCCACAATGTCTTTCTTCTCTAATACATTCTGTCATCTCCTGTCAAGTCTTTGGCACAACACAGATCCATACGCTGGCTACTCAGGGTCCCTTGCATTTTCATATGAATTTTAGGGTCAGCTTTTTCATTTCTGCAAGCAAGGCTGTTGGATTTTGATGGTGATTGGATGGAATCTGTAGATTAGCTCAGAACTGCCATCTTCACAGTGGTGGGTCTTGAACACGGGAGATCCTTTTTATTTAGGTCTTTCATTCCTTTCAACAGTGTTTGGTTGTTTTTGGTGTAAAAGTCTTACACTGCTTTGCTTACATGTGTTCCTAAGCATCTTCTCTTTTTTGATGCTATTGTAATGGTACTGATGTCTTATTTCCTTTTCAGATGTTTATTGCTGCCAGCGTATGCAGTGCTGTCTTCCGTGAACCACAGGCCGCCTCTGGTACCTCGTGGTCACCCAGAACTGCGGGCTCAGAAGGTCCCCTTGGTTCCTGCCTCCACGGACCAGGGCCAAATGCCAGCTGCTCGCACCCACTGCAGACCCACCCGTATTCCACTGTGCCTGGGCCTCACCCTCGCTCTCTCAGCTTTTCCTTCACTTCTTGTGACTCTCTGTCAGACAATATCCTTCTCACCCCTTCAGGGTCTAGATTTTAAAAATGTGTCCTTCCTCCTCCATCCCTAGCCTGGTGTCCTGCGCCTTCATGGCCCTCCGGGGATCTTGTCTCCTCCTTTGTTTGGAAGTTATGGCTCCTACCCCTCAAAACCTGACTTCCTTCACATTCCCTCACTTCCTCTCAGTCTCGGCCCTCTCCTCCCTCTGCAGGCACCTTAAGTCATTATTTCTCCTGTCTCTTTCATTTCTTCCAAGCTACAAACATAACCAAATATTTATGCCCCCCCCCCCAAATCCTCTCCAGTCACAGCTCTTATTACCTCCTAATTTTGTCCTTGGAGTTCCTCTCTCTAATTCCTCAGTGCCTTGCAATTTGGCTTCTACCACCACTACTCATGGCAATTGTCAACAAGATTCATTAATTATCAACTTCAATTGCTTTTTCTTTGTCTTTATACTAGAGGCCCAGTGCACAAAAATTTGTGCACTGGGGGGGGGGGGGTCCCTCAGCCCGGCCTGTGCCTTCTCGCAGTCTGGGACCCCTCAGGGGATGTCCACCTGCTGGTTTAGGCCTGCTCCCCGGGGGATTGGGCCTAAGCTGGCAGTCAGACATCCCTCTGGCAGCCCAGGAGACCTCGGGGGATGTCCACTTGCCAGCGGGGAGCAGGCTTAAGCTGCAATCGGACACCCTTAGCGCTGCTGAGGAGGTGGGAGAGGCAGCCATCAGCCTGGCTTGTGGCTGAGCAGAGCTCCCACTGACCACCAGGGGGCGGCTCCTGCATTGAGCATCTGCCCCCTGGTGGTCAGTGTGTGTCATAGTGACCAGTCATTCTGCTGCTAGGGTCAATTTGCATATTACCCTTTTATTATATAGGACAGAGGCCTGATGCATGGGTGGGGGCCAGCTGGTTTGCCCTGAAGGGTGTCCCGGATCAGAGTGGGGGTCCCGCTTGGGTGGCTGGCCAGCCTGGGTGAGGGGCTGAGGGCCATTTTCAGGCTGGCCAAGCCCCCCAGCAGGGACCCTCACCCCATGGGTGTGTGGCCAGCCTGGGTGAGGGGCTGAGGGCT